TCTATTCCATGAGAATAGAAACCTAGTCAAGTAGAAGTATTTGTTTATTTTATTCATTTCTACATCACCCATCTTACCTAAGCAACTCTGGGCAGTTTACAACAATGTACAATATATTTGTTTCAGTTATTACAATGCATTCTACATACAGCTGCTTCTGAAACAGTAGTCAAAAATTCCCGTTTGCCCAAAATGCAGCAATTTTTGTGCTAACTATACATTCCATACAGAGGTGGTATTCAGCAGGTTCTGACCAGTTCTGGAGAACTGGTAGCAGAAATTTTGAGTAGTTCGGAGACCCGGTAAATACCACCTCTGACTGGCCCCGCCCCCATCTATTCTCTGCCTCCCGAGTCCCAGCTGATCGAGAGGGAATGGAGATTTTGCAGTAAACTTCCCCTGCCATGCCCACCAAACCATGCCAAACTTACCAAGCCATGCCCACAGAACCCGCAGTAAAAAAAATTGAATTCCACTATTGATTTCACCTGGGGAAAATAAGTTACCTCAATTGCAGATACAATCCAAAAGTCAAGATGTCATATTCATGTGGTTTTCTTGGTAAAGTACAAAGTACCTTATTATTGTTCTTTTCCTGGACTAACCCTTTACTCTACAGCCTTGATCTTTCTGGATGGCCCTTCATACCAATCATGTCAACTTAGTTTTTCATGATCAACCAAGAAAACTCTCTATATATATATCTCTATGTAAAGCACCAGAAGTGATCCTCAACCAAAAAGCAATTTTACATTACTTGCACTAAATAGTCTTTTGGGTGATGGCATTTAAAGCACTGAAACATCTACGACCAGGATATTTGAAAGACTGATTCTTATTTATGAATTGGTCCTTGTTTGTTCAACTTCTGAATCAACTTATTTAAAGCAGGCATTTTGGTATTAGCACTTAAATGTGAAATTTGTTTAGTGAAAAGCAGTTTTCATGTCTTCCTTAACTTTCGGGAAGTTGGTTAAGAGTTTCCTTTCTGGCATATGTTCAATCTATAATCTCTCTAATTAAGAGGTTTTTAAAATATATATTTTTTGTTTTTCAAATATTTTTGTCCTACTTGTGTTATTCACAATAAAACTGCTAGAAATATGTGGAGAATAAATGGTGATATTCAGAGTTTTATTTTACATTTTCTCTAATAATCTTCAATTCAGAATTTGCCATTTAATTTCACATTAGATTGATTTTTTTCCTGAGCAATCCAAATTATTTTCTCTCATTAGTTACTAAGAAACTACACTTCTAGCAAGTATTTTCCAAAGTGGGCATCATTTGCTGACTTTTAATGTCATCATTTTGAAAGATTCTTTGTTCCACTGTGCAGTTTTAAAACATCCATAATTATTTTATTTCAATGTTATGTGGATTTTGTTTTAATGAGCCAAGATTGTTATTGATTCATGAATAATTAATTATCCTGAATAGAACTATATGAATGAAAATAGAAAGATTTAAGCCCACTATATTTATTTGATTATTTTATTAAAATATTTTGGTAGAAAAAAAAGGCTGACCTCTAATAATAGATTAGCAGATAATTTTTAAGATTATCAATGTCTATAATTGAAATGAGTTACATAATACTGACACTTTCTTACACAACAAAGGTTAATTTAATGGACCTAAAGAAAGAAAATGTGGCCATTAAATCTGAGTTTAGATCACTGTTGCTGTTTTTTTAAGTTTTATTTTGCATCATTTTACATAAATGATGTAAATTAATGCAAATAATATGAATTAAATCAATTGCCTGGCCAGAGTTTGGAAAGTGGTTGGGCCATAACCTCTTAGACATGATGAGACAAAATAAATAATGAAAAGTATTTTTCTATTTTTAGCATAACAATAGGCATCAAACTGACTTTTTCTGCCAGTTAATTATGCAAATAGAATTCAGCTAAGGTACGCAAATAGAGATTTACTCTTTGCTTGTTTCTGTATTCAAAGGAATGTAGTGAATTGCCTTGTGAACTAATTGCTCTACTGCTATGAAATTAACTTTCTGCTCTGCAACATTATTGCTTCTGTTAACATGACAGCCAAACTTAAAATGTAGCCACAACTAAATTCCCAAAAGAGTTAATCAAGAGCTTTAACTAAACTTAGCTGGCAGCCTTTCACAACTACTACAACTGTGAAATTCAGACCCGCTTCTCCCCCTGGATATCTACACCACGTAGATAGAATTGTGTCTTCTTTTCACTCCAGATATCTCCACCAAGTAGATTGAATTGGGTCTTCTTCTCCCTATGGAAATCTGCACAGATTATATGGATGATTCATTGTATCATTCTCCTCTTTTGTGATTTTGCATCACCATGGAACATACAGTAGCATTCTTCAGCAGTGTTCCTTAACTTGATCTTTGGTTACTAGATGTTTTGCTTCTTCTCTGGTTCTGAATCCACTCAAGTTAGCTCATTTCCTCTCCCTCCATGAGAAACTCAATGCATTACCTGCCTTTGTCCCAGCTCTCAGTCTCTTCCATAAATGCAGTTTGTATGTCTTGGAGAGCATACAAAGTAGATGTAGATATAGATACAGATTAACAGCATTGGAAGGGACCTTGTAAATCATCTAGACCAACCAAGCAGGAGACCCTACACTATTTCTGACAGATGACATCCAGATTCTTCTTCAAAGCTTCCAGTGATGAAGCTCCCACAACTTCGGAAGGCAACTTCTGTTTCATTAGTTGATTGCTTTCATTGTCAGAAAAA